TATATATTTCCTTCATTTTACGGTATTTAGAACGCATTCCTTTTTTTGCTGATGGCTACAATCTCGACAATTTGTTTTTTGAAAGTTCGTGTTTTAGTCAATGTTTTTAATATTTGGGTAATTTGAGTTTTATTATAGTTAAAAACTTTAGGTACTTTCTTTTAGGAGCACCCTGACTTATTTTCAAAAAATACAGCAATCATTGGAATATTTTCTTTAATAGCTACCTTAGCGACTCGACCACTTCTTCTTATTTTTAGAGATACATTTTCCAATTTTATGGTTTTATCGTAAGCAATTGATCTGGGTGAACCCCATTCCATAAACTGCTAAGCAACAAACGCTTTACCATTTGCTCCATTTTTGGTGGAAAAAAATTGTTATCATTTTTTCGATTTTTTTTAATAAATACTTTATTAAATTACTATTAAATTATATTTTTAACCTAATTAAATTAAATTTAAATAGATTATAAAATCCTCTTTCAAATATATATGAATGTTTTTTGGGTGCATAAAATAAATTACATAATAAATGCAATTAAATTTTTTCCGAAATTGTATCTATAGGGTGTTTTATATATATATATATATATATATATATATATATATATATATATATATATATATATATATATATATATATATATATATATATATATATATATATATATATATATATATATATATATATATAAATTAAAACTGTTTTAAAAAAAATTGTTATAATAAAAACAAACTGTTAAAAATGCAACATTAAAAAGTGCATGAGAAAATCCAAATTAGCCTTTAAATGTTATCCTCAGATAATCTAATAAAAAGTCCAAGCTTTTAAGTTTGGGACAAACAACTGGTTTGCATGGTAGCTTTATAACTAGTTGTTTGTTTGTTGGTTGAAAAGTGGTGTTTTTTAAATCTTTTTTTATATATAGTCTAGCAATATTACTTCAATTGTTTTCGTCGGGGATGCCTATCGTCGTGGAAGCCTGCGGAAGCGTTTCAACAAAATAACGAAATGAAAGCCCTTAATACAGCTACTGTTTTTAAATGTGAACCAATAACTTTCATGAGATGTATAGATCATTGTTACGCTTGCAATTGTCGATTTTAAATAGTTTTCTATTTAGTCATACTTCATTATAATAGCAAAATTTCTCAACAAAAACTTTAATTAATCTTCAATAAACTAGAAGTATAAACTTTATATAGATAGCGTTAATCTTTACTCTATATACATAATTTCGAATAAGTATTTATTAATGCTACTTGCTATTTTTTGCAAGTAACAAATTTTTTTACGTAAAATGAAAGCAATTTTTGATGCAAAAAAATACTATGACTAAGTAGTAATTTAGAAAATATTAATAAATATTAAAATATAAATAAATTTTTACTTTTTAAAATCATTATTAATATTTTTCTTAATTGGTTTTAAGTTTGGATTTTAAAAATACTCTGTTTCCCTTTCACCTATAATATGTATGGTAATATAACGTAAGTAACTACCCATAGATCCAACCTTGTGATACTCTATCAACATAACAAAACAATAAAAACTCGTATGAATAGTATTTAAACAAGATAAATTTACTCAAGCTGAACTTTTGCTAAGACTTTTCAAAGTACTAAATGTCTGTAAAATTAGCATCTATTAAAAACTTTTTTTCCTGCTTAAATATAAACTTGGACTTGTCTCATAACATTTTTCAAAATAGTTTTTTAAATGCAATAGGAATAGATATGACAATCGAGGAATAGGAAGTTATAAGTTTCCATATAAAAAAACAAACTTATTACGTTTCTCTAACATATAAAAAACTAACATCTTAAAATACTTCAATTACAAAATTACATAACTCAAATTATCTGAAAATACTAATAAAAAAATTGTTTTAAACATAATAACTTTACTAAGGTATATTAAAACAAGTAAATAAATAAAACCCTATTAAGATAATTTCAAAGCAAAGTAAATGTTTTTTATTTTTCGTACATGTCTTTTAATATATTAAGTATAACAAGCCATGTAACTATATATTTATGTTTATCAAATACAGCTCTTTTCTGTTTTTCATTATCTAATAGCTTTTATGTGTGATTCTTATGCCACCATGAGATTTTGTTAAACTGAATTTTATAACAAATTTAGTATAAAATATATCGCAACTTAATGCGGTTTCTTGATAACAAGACCACATGGTCTTCTGCAAGTTTCCTGCGTTCTTTTAACAGGGTTACGTATTTACAGTTACTATTTGTGCTAAATTTATTATTTGCGCTGAAAGATGTTCTTATTATTTGTACGGAACTTTATTTTATAGATTGTAAACGAACCAGTTTAGATTTATATGATCATGTATTTGTAAAGACTTAGTAAAAAACCCAAAAAAAATTTCATAATTTGAAAAGTCGTTTGTTTTACTTTAATATAATCGTATTCAAATTTAGCTCAAACCCTTACATTGACCTTGACTCTAATCATAATCAAACGGCAAATAGTTATTAGACAATAAATGTATATACTTCTCAATTTGTATAAAAGTTACTTACGAAAATCGGAAATGTTTTGTTTTTGCAAAAAAGCAATGCTTACGGGGATTTACATGTAAACTAAAATGTCTCGATAACCTCGAAATAATTTTGCTCTATGTGATACTCTTTATAAGAAGAAGGTTGAGCAAGAAAAGCAACTGGAGAAGAACTTATTATGGAAAAGCTAAATGAAAATGAAGAATCTTGTTCTGCCCCTGTTAATGAAAATCAAAATGAAGAACCTTGAAATAAAGAAAGTAACAGGTTTGTTGATATGGAACTGCAATTTTATAAGGACTATGGTATTATTATAACAAAGGCTTCTAACATTGTCAAGTTGTTTTGAAAATCGCCAAACAAAATTTATACTATTTAATCAGATTTAGGAAAAAAAGTTAGGTCTATTCTGAATACTTAAACAAGATAGATTTCTCTAATCATTATGTTAAAACAATTTATGGAATTAAAAAACTTTATTAAAAAGCTCCTGTAGATATAAATAGATTTGATTTTATCAGAAGAAGAAATAAAACACATTTCTATTATTGTTCAGGCTTTTCATGTTATAGAGTTAAGTGTTACAATATTAGTAAAATGAGACTGTGATTTAATATAATTCGATAAAATTTTTTTGTTTTTGTTAAAAAATCTAAGAGAAAAAAAAAACTAACAATGGTCAAAAACTATTAAACGTAACCTATGAGAAACTTTATTTAATTTTATTGCTGCTTTACTAAGCTATTTGCATAATCCAGATAGATTTAAAGATTTTTAGTTACCAGGAATCTTCTAAAATACCCAAATAAAAATAAAGTTGCTAAATTAAATCAAAATGTTTTCATACGTTTGTTTTATCATGAGAAAGTAGAAGCAGAATATTTATTCTAAATTTAATGTAAAACCAATTTAAAAAAACTAAAGCCGAAGATTTAGGAGAAATGATATCAAATATAACTTCAACAACAGTAAAAAATCAGGGTTAGGGTTAGGGGTTAGGGGTTAGGGGTTAGGGGTTAACTATTAAATCGTCCCCTAAAGAGGTTTTGAAATAAATTAAAAGAGAAATAACAGAACAGCACTGTAAAAGACCAAACTCCTTAGAAAAGGTTTGCAACGCCATGCTTAGCCTTCCATCTTCTGTAAAAGCAGAAAGGTTTAGTGCTGCAAGTGTTATTATTACTAAGTGAAGAACTAATTTAAATGATGGCGATATTAACAATTTTCGTTTTTAAGATTATTTCTGATGAAAAAGACAAGTAAAATCATAGGAAATTTTTTAAACTGTAAAAGTTTATTTTTTTAAATTTATTCGAAAGTAATCAATTAACCGATTAATTTTTTGAAACTTAATTGTTAACTAATTGACTTGAAACACCAAAAATCTACTACCCCTGTTTGTAGAAAGTCAGCCACCGTAAAAGATAACATCAACATATGCCTCCGCAATTAATATTTTTGTTTATAAGTCGTAAGCGTAACAAAATATTGTTTAAAACAAAGTTTTAAGTTTTACTTTTAGAAAAAAAAAACAGCTTTAGTAAAAAAAAAAATCTTATTTTTACTAAAGCTAAGTGTTCCGTTTTATACGCAAACTGCATGCTAAAAGATTGGAGAGTAACTAAATATAATTAGCCAACTCCTAATTTATCATATATATATATATATATATATATATATATATATATATATATATATATATATATATATATATATATATATATATATATATATATATATATATATATATATATATATATATATATATATATATATATATATATATATATATATATATATATATATATATATATATATATATATATATATATATATATATATATATATATATATATATATATATATATATATATATATATATATATATATATATATATATATATATATATATATATATATATATATACCACTAGATCAACTTTGAGTCGACAGCAATAAAATACCCGCGGAAAGTCGACGCCTCAAAAATCAGTATAACTTTATCAATTAAAAATTTTTTTTTTCAAAAATTAATGAAATGGCTTCTTGTTCAATTTGGAATTAAATATTTTAAAACTTTTTTTCACTTTTCAATGTCAAGTCGACTTAACGTTTTCGAGAAATTTTTTTTATTAAAAGTTGACTTTAACTTTTTTTTTTATTAGATCTCCTTAAAGTCGACAATAAAAAAATGCGCTCCCTGCGGGATAACAATTCTAATAAATAAACAGGCCGAGGTGAAAAAAAGTGTGAATTTTTGTGTCACTGGTATCGCCGTGGTTCACAAAACTAATTAAAAGGTTTTATAAATGAAACTTTAAGGGAAAAAGTTAATTGAAAAAACATTACTTCAAAGTATAAATTTTATTTGGAACTGTTTTAAATTAACTTTAAAAAAATAAGTTTGAATGTCGTTAGAACTTCGGAAAAAGTTCGCATCTTTTATGCTATTTCGTTAATGATTTTGTTTTCAACAGTGTCTGGGCTAGATCTGTATTTTGATCCAAACTTAATAATATCTTGTCGACCTGAAATAGAAAAGATATGTGCTGTAATTTGAAATAAAGATACAAAGTTATCTACTCAAATCAAAAGTAAAATAAGAATAAATCAGCACCTTGTGACAAGTGATATAAATTAAAAAAAGTTTATGGATTATTTTAACATTTACCCTTATTTTTTGTTTTATTCCATCTTATTTGATAAAAATTAACCACAATATTGTTATTAAAAAGATAAATCTTTTTAATACAATATTATTATACCTAATCAGGGTATCCAAGTAAATGCATTAAGTGATACCCTGTGATTAAACTAACATACTTCAGAAATCTTTATAAAAAACACTCTCTCACTTATATTGTCCTTTTGATTATACCTACGACTTAAATAAGATTTATAGAACTTTTATAGCTACTCACAAGACTCAAAAGTTTTCACATATGTAGAACTTTCTCAAATGCTCTTAAATTTTACCCATCTCCTTGCCCTCATGTCTAAACATACTCTTGATACAATAAAATAAAAATTGAAAAAAATAAAAACACATTTATTAAAAGTTGAATTGTCAAAATTTGCTCCATAGTTATACACAAAATAACTATTTAAGTATTTGCTTACAGTGCATATATAAGTATTATTCACTATATTAGAGGAACTATATTTGAAGTGGAGGAGCCAATTTAAGTTTAATAAGGTAAAATAAAATAAATAAGCTATTTGATTATTATGTAGGCTATTTTTTTCTACTCTTGTATTGAAGGCACAGCCCACTTTGCACCACCATTTTAGCTGCTATTGAAGAAAACTTTCAATTTAATCCCTAAAGTAATATAACCTTAAATAACAATTTTTTTTTCATAGTCTAATGTGATCATTAACATTTAAAAAAAATCTTCAAAATAAAAAAAAAAAGTTGTAATATATAAATAGAGTCAGATTATCTGGTGTATACTTTGCTATAAAACTTGAGACTGAGACAGAACTTTTTTCAGTTTTATTTATTTGATAATCATTAGTTTGAAAATGGAACTACAATTTGCTTGAACTGCTTTCATATTCAGTAGAAAAAGTTTTCATTTGTATTTTTTTTAAACTTGAGTACAGAATATTGATAAAAGTTATTTAATTATCAATTAAAAATAGTCATATAAAAAATAACTTGATATACAAATAAAATTTTATTTGTTTTTTAAATTTATTTGTTTTATTTATAACATATAAAAACATGCCAAAATAAATTAAATAGTAAATAAGATATATACCTAATTCATTTAAACTGCTTGCAGTGCTACTCTTAACTTTAATTGCTTTTAAAAGTCTTGCTTTACATCTTGTTAAAAAAACTTCAGTAAATTTTATTGTGTTCTTTTGTTTTTTTCATAACAATATTTTTTGCAAAAATCAATCATTAAAAAAATAAAAATAGCTACTTTAAAAACTATTCAAACAAATCAAAATATCTTTATATATATACAGGAGTTTTGATAAAAACCTCCAAGACACTTTCCCTATAAAAAAGATAGTAAGCTGCTGAAGTTTGATAGTCATTTCAGCATCCGAAACCGTATAATCAGCTATTAGTGTAGCAAGGCGATGGCAATTATTTGTACAAGATCACGTTAAGTTGCCTTATTATATTTTTAGAATATTTTATTCAAAACAGAATCTTTGTAAAAATTGTGTTCTAGAATAAATAGCGTTTTTGCTGAAACTCCAATCTGACTACTAATATCAGCCAAACCTAACAACTTTTTTTTTAATTGTATCTCTAGGAATTAAGACAGGAGAGGAACAACTAAACCCACTTCCAGACTGATAATTAATCTTCATTCTACATTCTAATTGATTTTCAGATAATGCATTTTTATTCTTTGTTCATTTAATCATA